CATGGGATGATCACACAGACAAAAAAAAAGTATTTCACAAAATCATAAATTTGTGACCACAATGGTAGCAGGTAAAAGGAACTAAAAACAAACAAGAAACCCAAGATCCTGTTTCTGCAAATTCCAGATATGAAAGGTTACTTTGTCTATGTACTCTGAGGCATGATAGCTTTATTTTCACTGTTTTGTTATTGACCGTTTCATGTACTAACTCCTAATTTCCCCTGCAGTTTTACAAGACACTCTTAATATTAAGATCTAGTCTCCATCAGCCAAATAGGTGGTCACAAGCAAGCTATCTGCAGAGATTCACTACACTTTTAAAAACGTTTGAAACAAAATCATGAAAATTATTTGAGAATCTAAAAGTCTCAGCAGATGCTGTCTTGAAAAACCTACTGTTGCAGTGATTCAAGGTGCCTTTTGCCTCAGTCTACACTATCCTTTTTTCAGTGACAATCAAATGAGTCAAGAAAAAGGAATGAATAGTTTTGCATCTGACTAGTCAGCTACTAATGAAAGAGGTTTTGCATTAATAAGCTGAAAAAAAGAATCCCATATTCCTTTCTGACTACTTGGCTACAGGTACGATGACCTCTGACAAAGGGCTGATAGAAAGCAGTAGGTCACTGCAGTTATTTATTCCATCATCACGACTCAAAGCTCTGCCTCACCTACGCTGTGCCCTAAATCCATACATTAGAAAAGTTTATGCTGTTGGAAGTGCAGAACTCCTGACCAATGCATCTCAAATGGGGTAAGACACCAAGCAACTCATTCAAAGCTAAATTACAATATTCCATAGTTTGCATCCTCATAGGATAGAAATGCTAATTTGTTAAAATTTGTTTTGTATTCTGCAATTCACTTGCCACGCAAGCTGTAATTTTCACAAATTACACTGCAGAGATTCTCGGGTTTTATTACATACAGATAGCCTGCTTTGCACTTCATAGACAAAAATACTAAGAAATTCTTAGACTCCAGCTGGATTTTAAAATACCAGCATTGTACATCAACAGATCACATGGTGCGACTTTGGGACCGTTGTGTGGAGTGGGTTTTTTTGTTTTGCTATTGTTGAGATTGTTTGTTTGGTTGGTTTTGTTGGTTTTAAGGTTAAACAGCAAATAATTTTGTACCTAAGGAGAGTCAAGAAAAAAAGCTGAGGTCAGCTATCAAGTGTGACATGATAAAATACACATAATTGCAATTTGTTTAAAACCAAACCAACCAAACCTCAAAACACCAACACCTCCCCCCAGGATTGCAAAGACTGAATGCAATTACAGTCAGTAAAAACACCCCTGCAAAGCAACTTCTCATCAAGACTGGTTTTTTGACCTAAGCAAACTAGAACATATCCACTACTCCACATCTGATCAGTCACATCCCTGAGGTAAAACATACCACTAGACTGACTTCTCTATCAAATACTCCACTAAAAGATTTCAATCCCTGTTGAAGGCCAGGCCACACCAACACCTACAGTACATTTATCCTAAGCCTTCTGCTTCCTAAGGGACCTGCTAGTTTTCCTACAACATGCAATACAGATGTGGTTCTTCGTTCCCAGTGGAAAACACACCTGTTCCTTTAACTGGAAGTCACAGTTGCCTATCAAAGCAAGACAAATATTTATTTAAACCAGCAGGACAAGAAAGTCTCTGAAGCAATATTTTTAAGTCTTAATTCACACCCTGTGGTTGAGATTCCACACAAATTTAAAGTATGTTAGTAGTGTAGCTTTTAACAATTCAAACTAAGTATTCTTGACCTCAGATAAGAAAGACCAAACAAATACTCAAAAAAGCAGCCCCAAACAAAAAACAAAACAAAAAATCTCTTACAGCTCTTGTATTCTAATTTTTCTCCTTCTTATTGAAGTAATAGCAAATGAGTAGACAAGTTATTCCACAGTAATTCATAAACATTAAACAAGGTAATGCATTATGATGCTTAACACAAATTAGTTGTTAAGTTTGAAATCAGTAAAACCTGTTTCAAATTACAGCAAGAATATTCCGTTTCCTCTTACAATAAGGCAATTCAAGTTCTACATTTAAACATGACATCTGATTAACTCATGAAGTGGTAAAACATCAACATAACTTGTTAATTTTAGCAACCCATTCCTGTCTATTGTTACCAGCTTATTTTTGCCTCTAGCAATTCAATCAGAGCAGTTTAATAAATGCGGGTTGGATTTGTCAAAGTTACTGATTTGTGCATAAGGAGTGGAGAATTCATGTGCACACAACATCTCTTTAGCGTTGGAGTTCAGATGAGCACGGCAAAATAATCAACATGGCAGACATTTTACTCCAGACTTTTACAGAAGAAACACTACCAACTTACTTAGCAGTTAATTTATGCAACCTTGCTTTCAGATAACTTACATTTTTTTGCAGTGCGGGCATTTTGCTAGTGTGTTAAACCTCAGTTCCATCCACTGTAAAAAGAAAAAATAAAAAGGGTGAAAAACTGGCCTGAGAAATGTTTGTTGTACATCATGCTAAATGTCACTGTGAAAACATTTTGCTTCTCAGGCTTTCTTTGACTTGTTTCTTGCGTTCTTCCATAAATGGGATGCCCTTTTGTCAGTGGCAACACAGGACTGGGATTTCCATGTGGACATTTCCCATGACTTGCCTTAGTATTACAACATTCACTTGACGTAATGTGGTTTCATCCATGGGCACAGTACGGGCAACATGACAGTATTAATACATTTTTTTTCTCTTACTTCCACAAATATGAATATACTGTGAATCAAAAGAAATGTGTTTTCTTTGGCAGAGAAATGTGTTTTCTTTAGTACAGAGAAGTATGTTTTCCTATCTTTCCCCAACCCTTGCATCATTTATAAAAACTAAGTGCACAGAAAGATTAGCTAAAGAGTATTTTAGAAAGTAGATGTCTTTTTAAGTTTTATATCGATAAAATAGAGAACACTTGCCTGCTTACATGACATTTTAAAAAGGTAATTCCTAAAACCATACATGATATGGTCATAACCATGCATAGACTAAAACCTATCTGGGAAACAGCCTTAGTGAAAGTAACGCCTAGAACTACCTCAATCAGAGGATACATAGTTACATACTCATTTTAAAACAGCAGTTTTTGTTAAATTTCATTCTGTAACAAAAGTATTAAACAAGCATTTTAAACATGTTTGTCTTGACCAAGGGGATAAGATCATTGTTCTTTGCTCTGTAAGCAGCTATATAGTACTCGCAGCTCTTTGCTGCTCCCTTTCTCAGCTGGAGGTAGTTAGCACAGTTTCCTGGTTAAATATCATTCCCTCCTCCCCTGCCCTCTTAACTTATGCAAAAGTCACACCACAAATTACTAGCATGGGAAGAAGCCACAGCACAGACCACCAATGCCTCCATTTGGATCCTCCTTATCTCTGTGAGAAATCAGAGGTCGGTCTACTGAAGCAAGTAGTGCTGTTGTAACTGCTACAAACACAAACCAAAATCAGACCCCATCCTTGCATGGAAAACAGGACTCAGCTACAGCACAGCACCATTTAAACATTGAGAATGAATCTACAATTTTATGCATGAAGAAAGAGGATGAGGCTTGTAATGCCTTGCCAGTATGAGCAGGATTTGCTGTGAGCAAGGTTCTCATCTGTAATGTTTACAGCACTTTTTCCTGCCTCTTGTGGGTCTCCCTCAGTTTTATTTACTTCTAATGAGGCCAATTCTCCACTAAGAAGAAAACCGTAATTTTTTTCCTGGTTCTGAAGTATCCAATTACAATACCAGTTACATAGTTGTTGTTTAAAATTTATTTGTTTACAAAGACTTGGCCAAACTGATTCAGCATAGTTGTATTTTACCCCTTAATAAAATGAAAGCTTCTGTAATACTCCCAACCTGAGCAATGCATTTCAGGAGGATTCATGCTTATCTGGCAGGAATGTGGAAGCAGAAAGTTGGCTATTTGCTTGCACCCCTGTCAAAAACTACTCAGTTTCACTTAGTTCTGCACAGCAGAAGTGGGATAAGATGTGATCGTTGGTTCTGGGGATAGAGACATGCCTCTTCAGAGCTGTTCTTTCAACTTTTTAAACTGCAATTCCAAAAACAGAAGCAAATCCAAACCCAGGACTTACATTTTATGTAAGTCACATATGTTCAACTTCATTTCTGTACACTAGTTTTATTCCAGGGTAGGCAACTCCATTTCCAAAGTTACTCATTAATGATCTTTCTAGGGTTTTATTTCTTTTAAGATTTCTGATTAGTAGCCATAATTATTAATGGATGCAAACTCAAATGCACTTGGGCTCTAAATATTGATGGGGGAAAAAAAAAACCCAGCAAAAACACCACACATTGATAATGCATTTTCATTGAGAGCTACCTAGAAGTAAGAGAAGCACTAACTGTTACGATGCCTTTTCACATACAGCAAATATTTGCAGGAAAAAAGAAAAAATGGAAAAAGACATTCAATCTACAAGATTTCAGATCATGTTAGCATAGGGAAAGGTTATTTTCATGCACATTATAATTTTCGGAGTTTTGGTGGGTTTTACAAGTAGTTTAAATCATGCTTAAAGCTGGTATTTTTTACTCATATTCCAGAATGCTTTGAAGCACCTAATATTGTTTCATGTTGTTAAGAAAACTTGAGGTTACAAAACTTGAGTTAATGTGAAGTTTAGCTCCCTGCCGACAATACAAACTGTATTTTTGCCATTGAAACAATACAATAAACAATAGCCCAAATCCCTGGTTAGATGTACTGAAACACAGATGAGGATTTCAGAGAGCTCTTAAATGTTTCAACTGTGGACAAAACCAGACATCCATCAAGGGATTTACTAGAAAAGTATGTCAAACTTTCTTTCTTCTGAGCCTAAAATAGTTCTCAATGCATTCAAAACCAAGACAAAGGAGGAAAGGAAAAAAAAAAAAAAAAAGACATCTATACGTATATACACACACACATCCCTACACACAGCTGTCTATGCCAAATAAAGCTTCCCCTCCGCTCCTCCCAGTCCTTTGGGAAAGTAAAATACCCCTGCAGATTAAACAATTTTTTAGTTTTCTTAAGAATTTAAAGGCTTTTGTATTAAATTATTTTAGAAGAAATACTTTTCATATTTGATTAATTTGAAAAAAATAAAATTGACAGAGCACAACTGACAAACCACAGAGCTTAGCCTACAGCCTCTGGCTTACACGGTTTGCTCCTGGCTTCTTGGCCTTGAGGGTCTCTCTGATAGCAGGACAGTGGCAGGAGGCCGGAGCGGGACACAAGAACACCCCTCCCCTGCCTGCCACCATTTCCAAAAGCAACTCTGCCTCTGACAGCCACAAATCATCATAGGCAGAGGCCTCTGGGAGAGGGGTTGCAGGAAATGAATTACTTACTGCTGGCAGAAACAGCAACTGAGCCACAGCCCAAGTCCAGAAGCTCTCAAAAAAGCCCAAATCAGGTCAGATTGTGATTCAGCTGAGTACAGTTAAAACTCTCATCCTGCCCTTCTTTTCTATTCTACCACTTTTTCCACTTGTCTGAACTTCCAGAAACAGTAAAAACCTTAACACAGAGGAGGCCCCTATCAAGTTAACCAAGGGAAAAAAAAACCTGATTAACAAAATGTGGCTAACTAGTGATAGTTCAGCTACAGTATCACTTCAGTACTAAGTCATTCTCCCAACTGAGACAGAGAAGCTTGAAGGCACGCCACAGCATGGAGCATGCTTTTAATAATTTATAAAAAACACCTCCCACGTGTACTGTTACAGAAAGCACAGCCCATACTTATGCTTTCATATGGAAACAAAAAAAAATTCTTGGAAAGGTGGTGAACAAGTTGATACCCTTAAAAGAACACGGACAAGCAACTGACAATTTGACTTTTCTGCCCCAGGTATTCTAGCTTTGCTTGTCTATTTGACTTACTTTTTAACTGCCAAGTAAAGTAAAGGAGATATCTTACTGAGTTGCTGAGAGATGCATCTAGCATTACATATTTGCTTTACAATGTGGAGATCTCAAAGGGCAGAAATACCCTCACAGAAGCTGAGTTTTCAGACTGGCTAAAACACTTCTATTTTTTTGCTTCTCTGTTCACTCTCAAACCCAAACAATCTTCTGATTCTCCTTAAATAAAAAAAAAAAAAAAATTATTTGCAGAATCTCAAACTTGGTACAGAAAAAGGTAGAAGCAAAAGTGTGGTGGGAAAGCTGTATAAAGTGAAAAAAAAAGCGTTTGTTTCTTGGTAACTCAGCATGAAAGAATACAAGCTTCAAATTTATAATGATTTTGAAGGTTTTTTTCAATGTACCATGAAGTGGTAAGTTGGTCTTACTGGCAGATAGGACTATGAAGTTCAGAATGACGCAGTTCCCTAAAGCAACCATCAGACCTGAAGTCAGGCACAAATTCCAAATTAGAAAACTTAGCCTTTTAAGGCATATTCTAGCAGTTATGGGCAAACCCAGCCTCTCTGGGTTTGGGGGTTTTTTTGGTGGTTTTTTTTTTGTTGTGGTTTTTTTTTTTTTTCCTCTCCTTATGTTCACCTAAAGAAGTTCATAGTGTAAACCACAGAATTAATTGGGCTGTGCTTACATAAAGTAAACAGGTGATAAAGATAACTAAAATTCCCATGCTTATGAAAGCCCCCCAAAATAGGCCAATAATTTAGCAATGAGAATTTTACTTCATAACACTGACTCTCTCTAATGAATAAAAAAAACCCAAAAAACAAAACCACACAGTAGAGATGGTCTTTTGTGTTGAGATCACATTAAAACTTAATACCGTAACTCTCTTACAGCACTACTTTTGCCTGTGCTGTTTTGGAGCTGTGCTAATAAACAAAATTGTGTTACAAGTATCAAACTACAGTGTTCATACAGGTACTTAACAGTTTGGAACATGCTACTATATTTAAAAAAATAAAAGAAAAGGCAACTCTTAATAAAGGATTCCTTGTTTAGAACATGTGCTTGAGATGGCCTTTTTCTTCTGTAGATCCAGCAGTTTTCTCTTAGTAGCATTATTCTATATTGCATACAACGTTCTTACTAGTTAAGGTCACATAGGCTTGCATTTTAAAAAAAGAGAAACAGAAAACCCACTCCAGGTATCTCCAGTTACAGACTACTGTTCTTCAGCAAGGTTTACAATAGGAGTATATATTTTTTTAATATATCAGCAGAATTAGTAGATAGAATATTTCTCAAGCATCTCTCTAATGGCTTCTCAGATACTACGTTACTTGTAAATTCATAATCAAATCCTTAGTTCTCCTTTAAAATAAAGAAGCATAAGAATCATCTCCTGCTCCCTGCATTCATCACCTACTATAGTAGTTAAGCATTATTGCACACCTCACTGATTCATAAACCTGAAGTAAAGATTTGAAAGAACAAGTCTATCCCATTATAGAGCTCATAACAAGTAAACCCTTCTCTCACTGCTGATATAAGGCAACACGGAGTGCCATCCCTAAGCTTCCTTTTTCCTTTCACAAAATGCACTTGAGCATTCTCTGGCCTTTATATATCTTATGATCCTTTGTTTCAGGAACATAATGCCACTCTGGTGACTATGCAGGTCCTTCAGCTATACCACTTATCTTAGCCATTCCCCAAAACTCACAACCCTGACAAGCACTCAAGCACTGCTAGATGACAAAGCTAAAGCTAACTTACCCGAGTACTGCAGACACTCTTCCCAAATCAAAATTCAAGGATAGCAGCCCCTTATCCATGTAACAGGCTGCAAAGGGTTCAATAGCAAAAGGCTATTCTTGCATCCTTCCACTTCAAAAATGGGATCAACTGTCAGTCTCACATACAAACCAAAATCGCCAGTGCCGTAACAACTGGCAGACAGGCTAATGGCAAGTGCTACAATGAACAGCTTTCAGGGGTCCATAGAGCAATGGCAGAACTGCTCTCTTAGGCACTGCAGAACATAACCATCATTGCAAGCCTAAACAGAACCTGGAAGAGTAACTTCCTTTTCCAGCACCGTCCACTCTCACATCACTAAATGATAAGACTGACTTTGGGATTTATCCATGCATGCACAAAAAGACTCTTAAAAGTTTTCTTGAAATGCATGTAAAGATAACCAAACACAGACCATACAACCCTAGCAACATGAGCACAGAAGAAGATTTAGATTCTCAATGATGCCATAGAGTGAGGTAATATGTTTTTAAAAGTGCTTAGCACAAATAGGTTGAAGGATAGCATGGTGAAGTGAGAAGAAGGATCTGGTGCTTTACTTACAAGGAATGTATTTCCACAGTGCCCACATACCACTCTAGTTCCGTCTGGTTGAACTGGCAAGGCAGGCTGAGCTGGCTGCTCTTCTGGGATCAGCATGACTGGACCAAGAGTAATGATGCGTCTACTGTGTTAAGAACATTAGATGTACATGTAATTAAGCTAGCAAAAGAGAAAGATGATGCGTTTAAGCAATTAGCTCAGTCTCTACCAAATATTTTACACTTTCAAACCAGAATCTGCTTTTTAAACAGGTGATGCACCCAGTTTTGGTCTCTCTCCAAAGTGGTGTTTTCCTCTTCAGTATTGAAAACATTCTCTTTCACTATAAGATCAGCCAGAACCCTGTAGAGATCAAAGACTTGCCATCATATGGCAGAAACACTCCTTAGGAAAATGAAATCTTAATACCCAGGCTGAGCAAGCCCGTGAATTGGAATGTACATACCACATGAAACATGTAGAGTAAGAACTCTTCCATAATCTAGTTCTCCTTCCCAAGTCAGATACTCCTCCTTCCCACACTACTGACAACCACATCAATATAAATAGCATATCCACATTTGTACCATAAAAACTCCATTCAAATTGAGTGAACTAAAACCCAAAACCACCCTATGTTGACTAAATGCAATCAATTTACTTTAAAAACAGTTTGTAAGTATTTGCTTTTATGTTCAACATGTTTCCAGTTTAATTATACAATTTGTCCATCCAAAATGACAGTACCCAAATCAACCAACTCAAAGCAAAATGAGGATCAGACTTCCTAGCACGAAAAAAAGTGAAGGGGAAAAATTAAAGCATTATTTAACTTGCATTGCATCTCTCTCCATATACAACCAAAATTTTATTCTCGATGGCCTCCCTTCAATCTCGAGCCTTCGATTTAGGGCATACTCCCAACTCTCTCCTTCAAAGTACCCCAATTTCACTCATCATCTAGTAAACAAATACATAGGCTATCTTAGGGAAACTGCCGAGATATATGCTTTTGAGATAATTTTAATAAAATTAGGGAGTTTCTGATTCAGCTTGGTTACCAACCATATGATGTATTACAACTGAAGTATCTCATTAATGTTTTTTCACTCCAATATTTTGAAGTTTTCCCCAACACTGCATTAATTAAAAAAAAAAAAAAAAAGGAAAAAGTCTCAAACTATGTTTCAAAACCAGACTAGCCAACAGACTGGTGACTAGAGCACTTGGTGTGGTAGAACTCCCCTTCATGTATCTGCAGACCTAGCCTTCATTTCAATTTCTCCTGTTAGAGCCACACCACTTATAATCAGATTACTCCTACCTCAGTGGGATCTTTACCACCCTAAGCCTGACTCACTATGGCAATTGCACTTATTTCTTTTATAACAAATGTGTAAAATAAAGTCGAGAGCTGAGAGAAGATTGAAAATGCAGTGTAACAAAGCAGGGAGAACAGGACTGAAGCCAACCTACCACTCCCTCTCCCACTTCAGCATGAAGATCCCACTCTGAACCAGGCAAAGTGAGCAACCTCTGTGTTTATTACGATTAAGTTTCCAAGAAATTATAAATGTTAACTCCCAGAAGCAAGAAGTGATTTTCTTCTCCATTATTCTTTATACCATTTGTTCCTTATGAAGTAGCGAAAACGGGAAACACACATTTGAGATTACCATTAAATAAAAAAAAAAATAAAAAATTTTTTTCCTCTTTAAAGTTAATCTAAAAAAAAAAATTCAAAATTGACACTAGCACAACCTGTGTCTGTGGTAATTCAGTAATGCTCTGTAAGTGTCCATGTACAAAGGCCTAGGCTTGAACCTCTCAGTTTTAAATACTCAACACAAACAGCAACATTGCTTTGAAGAAAACTATTTCAAGGCACTTAAGTTTTTTATTCTTACCAGTTTGGTCTTGGACAGCCTATTTTCCGAGATGTATCCTTACAGATAAGGAGACAGTTACATTGACATCTAACATACTTCTTCCCTGAAGGAGGGTTTTTGATTGGCTAAACAAACAAACAAACAAAAACCAGCAGAGAACACACATCAGAAGTCATGGCAATTCACTTTTTTTCCTCGTAACAGTATGACAAAGCAGAACAGCTTCTGTGACAAGTTCTTGCTAACAGAAATACAGTTCCTCTTACAGAGGAAACTTGAGGTTCAAGACAAAATTAGAAGTTTTCTCTCTCTTCCCAGAGAAAGAAGTGCAAATTACCCCACTAGAACAAACACGATTCTGCAAACTAATGGAAAAACCATTCATATTTTAGCAACAAAGAATTCAAGACTTCAGTTTAGTTATTTTTCAAAGTGTGAGTATGTTAAGTAGAGGTGTATTTTTAAAAAAAAAAAAAAGTCAAAACTTCAGAAAAGCCTCCTTGCCTGGCACAATGGCTTTACTCAATAGTGAAAGGATCACAGTCTGGTTCTCAGTCACCAAAAGAACGTGTAGACATCACTGAAAGGTAATCTTATTTTAAACTGTACTGAAATCACCTTTCTCCAACCTGGGAGTCAAGTTTCTGGATCCCTTTCATACAGCAAATAAAAAACTGCAAGGTACCTTGTTTGGCTTGAAACATTATATATTAGCAGGGAAAGTGAGTATCTGTCTTTTAAGTAGAAACCCCCCCCTCCCCATATTCATACAGTTTTAAGGCTTCTGGATATAATTTAAAGTTCTTTTCATAAAATAAATCCAATGCAGTGTTTTTCATACAAATACCCCCCGGTAGCTGTGGAGTGCTGCAGTATCAGATCCCAAAACTAAAACTGGCAGGAAGGAAAAAAATAGAAGCGGGAGGCCAAACAATGAAGACTTGAATTAAGAGGGGAAGAGGCGCAAAAAGGTCTTTGATCGCTGGAAAAGAACTATAATTTAAGCATTTCAAAATTGTTGTGTTGCGGTTTGTTAGCAAGCTACCAAATTGACTGAATAGTATTGCAGGAGGAAAGCATACATCCAGGGAGAGGTGTGGATTAGTTACTTTGTTTCTTCCACTCCTAAAATAATTCAATTCTTCAATTCTCTTCATCCCACCAAAATCAGTTTTACCCTTCCCTACAGAAAAGTAATTACTTAAACAACATTGCTTTTTGTCCTCCTCCGAAGCAAACACCCTACACAGCCAGCTCAACAGCATGAAGATTTACTCTAACTACTTATGACCATCCTTGTGCCGGCAGCCCTCAAACTTGCACACTACCTACGCTAGCAGTCAGCTACGCTGACAGGCCCTTTGCAGGGATGGCAGCAAGGGACTCGCCCTTTGTAGGCGAGGACATGAATTCTACCAACAACATACTTCAAACCCCCCCCCCCACTTCCCTCCACAAAAATAAAATGCTGAAAGTCTGTTTTACCGTAGCTTCATTGCAAACTGTGCACTTAACAACATGTTGGTGTAGCTTGCCATCCAAATTGATTAGCGACTGGCACACACGGCAGTTTATTACAGGAACACCACTGGCATCTGGACTTGCAATGGCAGTATACGGAGGAGGAAGCTCTGCTGCAAGAGATCAGGAAATCTCAGTTGAAAAACAAACAGGGGATCCTAAAATACCATCAGCAAAGGTAGTCGCTAACAGGCACAGCTTCAAAAAAAGAAAAAATACTAAAAAATATATAAATAATCAAAGTCAGTGATTAGTATAACCGTAAGACAAACCCATTTGCTTTCTCCTTCCTTACAACTTCTGTGCACCTGAACATCAACCATAGTTGTACATAAAGCAAACCAGCAACACAAACACACTGTAAACCACACCAGAAAGCGGAGCAGACAAAAGGCTCACCTATGCAATTTAATTTCAAATCAAATTTTTACAGTCTTTTGGAAGGGGGAGGAGGGGACAAAACAAACAAACCCCAAACCCAATACAGATGAGTGGCAACCACAGACTGGCTTCTGAAGAAAAAAACAGGATACAAAACAAGACACGGGTAGGCAGAAGAGCCATAACCAGCATTTACAAAGGTCTGGAGAGACTGAAACGCGGATAAGCATTTATCTAGTAACAAATACTACAAGTAAAAATACAGAAAAGTCCTGTTAAGGAAAAAGGTCCTGGATGGGAAGTGGCATCAAGTGCTGCTTCTCTGAGTGCAATAGCAGCAAATTTATGCTATCTTGAAGAAAAAAAAAAAAATTTGAAATGAACCCTCAAAGCTTCTGCTTTTAAGGGTTCCAGATATTTTTGTGGTTTGACAGCCAAAGTGCAGATGCACAAGAAGGTCTTTAGTCACTCAAGATATGCTAACACAAGGGAAAACAGAGTGGCCTCAGGCCCCCGTGGAAGAGAAGATTTCAGCTTTGCCAGGCCTGAGCCCATGACAAACTAGGGACTAAACACTCAAGATCCTTCTCAGTTTAAGAATTCATGGAATGAAAACAATTCAACACAGCAACCTCTCACAAGTTTATTACCACAATTACTTGGCTTGTAATAGCACTGACATTTCATTGAGAAGCTCAGGGCTCTTCAGGTAAGCAAATAAGGAATGGGCATATTTAGTAGTCCATAGTTAACTTTTTTAATACTCATAGTTTGAAATATTCTGCAGCCTTGGACTTCAATAAATTATTTTATAATTACATCCAAGCAGCCAATAAAATCTTCAATGAAGCTATGAGAAAGCAACCTACTTTCAGTTTACAAACAGCACTGAACAGAGCAGTACCTGCTGGAGGCGCAGCAACGGAAATCATGGGCTGCAATCAAAGCTAACAAGCCCAAGTATTAAATCTAACCCTGTAAGAAAGCACTTACCACTCTTTCACTCTGTTTTACAGCAAATGTCATAAGCTGGAGGGATGTAAGAAACCCTGCCCGTCCTTCCAATCCAAAAATCATCACAAACCTTTGAAGCAGCCTCACTGTTCAGTGCTCTCTCTCTTTGCTACTTGGCCTACAGAGGAACCAGACTCATGCTTGATTTTAACTCAGAGGCAGCAGAAGGAAGGCAGACACCTTGAGGGTCTCAGAATCACATCCAACATACTTGAATTATTGCAGATGAGAAACAAAATTAACTTGTACGCAGCAAAGGAATTCTGAAGTCATCATACAAACTGATGCTCTGTTTCTTGAGCAAGCGACTTCACACCTTCAACTTTGATATACAGGCTGCAGAAATCAACATCCTCAAAAAAGCATCAGCTAACTTATAGAGCGTGTTCTGATTTTTTTTTTCCCCTGTTTCTGTGGAAGTACATTATGAGAAAATGCAGCATCCAGTCAAATTTTTTTTAATAACAACACTATTTTGCAGTACTGAGATACCCTTTTTTCAGTACAAGACTGCCACATACAAGACAGAAGATATTACAAGATATTAACAAACAAAACACACACAGGACAAAACCCAATGCCCACACACTTTGGCAACTGGAAACAATCTCAAGCCTACTAGATCACTTCAGAAACCAGGTTTGAGATTTGAATGATGGGAACAGCAGTGTCTTAGCTGCAAGTGGCAAAGTCAAGGCTGCTGCAAGGGGGTTTTGGCCATAAGCAGACTGCTTAATTGCTCCTACAGCAAGCAGCTGATGCACTTTCTGGCTAGGCGGCCATAAAACAAAAGGCATGTCCAGCAGACCAAATACCAAACTCTCCGTGAAGACAGCCTTACAGTTCAATCCCAGCTTTGAGGTTGTTTTTCTGAAAAGCAACAACCAGAACTTCTTTGCTAGCTCTCAATTTAAAATGCGACTTCTCAACTCTACCAGCTGGGAACAGGGCAGCCGTACTAAGGAAAGGCAAACAGTATCTTGAAGGGTACCAGGAAGTAGACAGACACAAACACACCCCAGCCTTTCAGCTTTCCACAATCCTGGAATACTTTAAGAACGGGCAATTATATCCTTCTAGACATTTATAATATTCTATACCCTACTTGTAAGTGACAACTCTTAGGATTTTGAAAGTTGTTTAAATGAGGTGTGTAAGCACCAGCAGTCACTTCTCCAGCCTCATACTGGAGCTGCTTGGCTTCCAGGTAAGCAGCCACGCTGTTCCTGTCCTGCTGGCTCAGCAAATTTCCGATAGCAAGCAAATAATGGCTGCTTTTCAGAGTGGTGCTGCAGCAAATAACATTTGCTACGGAGCAGAAAGCCAGAGGTATCTTGGCACTGCAACATTCATGCTCAAAGAAAAAGTGCATTTGGAAGAGCTCCAAAAAAACAAAACAGCAAAAGCCACCAAAATCAAGTTTAAAGAAAAGTATACTGGGGGGTGGGGTGGCGGGGAGTGAAAGTAAAATAAAGGCATTGTCTCAGAGTTCGCTGCTAATTCACAGAATCACAGAACGTTAGGGGTTGGAAGGGACCTCAAAAGATCATCTAGTCCAACCCCCCTGCCAGAGCAGGACCACCTAGAGCAGGTCACACAGGAACACATCCAGACATTACCCCTTAATAAAAGGGTTTCAAAGCACATTAACATACTTTGGTATGACTTTTTTTTTTTTTTTTGACAGCTTGAATTTCAGGCTAACTATAACATCTAAAACCAGTTCGTAAAGGACCATCATGTTTGATGTAACTGGACAGTAGGCAAGTCTCACATACACATCAGAGGTTTTGGGGCATGTTTAGTGAGATAATGAACTTCCTGCTGCTGACACATACCAGTTTACAGCTATATTATCAGTTATTCTTTTAAAATAAGTAAATAAATAAAATCCAACAGTCATTAGTTCAGCAAGACTAGCAGAGTGCCCTACCATGCAGTACGTCCGACTAACCTAGATTCCCTCCTCACCCCCACAGGATAGAGATGCAGTGGAAGATATCACATATTCAACCTTAGAAATTCCTTGTGGTGCTTGTGCTCTTTCCTCCCTTGGTATTCAAAGGGCGGAAGCCACAGGGAACCACTTGCAGCTTACCTAGGTCAAACAGAAATAAGTTTGTTTTGTTTATTGGGTTTAAAACAAAAACAAACAAACAAAAGATTCTTTATCTTGACCCTGGAGAGGGTGGGTAAGGGAAAATGAATCAGTGATCTGTATCAGAGACAGGTAGCTATGAACTGAGAAAGCCTACCAAAAAAAAAAAAAAAAAAAAAAGAGGAAAAAAAAAAGCACTGGATACCACCAAACTACAAGGAGCAGAGTTGATGGTCCCACCCTTTGTCTATGTGGAAAGTTTCTTAAATACTATGCCCTGCATCTACATTGAAAAGATTTTTCTTGCTTGCCTCCATCCTTAGGAACAAACACTGAGCCATTACCAAGATTCAACCACCCACCAGCTTATGCTGAAAAGGCTCAGCTGGGTGAGTCTCAGCTGCAGCCCAACAAGGGAAGAGGCAGCTACTTTCAAACCACGGCCTCTCTTATTTAAAGCTCAGGATGATATATTGGGCACAGTAGATAATTATAGGGATAAATCTATTAAAGTACATTCAGGTGGTAGTTTGGAGGGCGAAGGGCTTCCTCCGCAGCTCCACACCAGTCAGGTGATGTTAAGCAAGGAAGCTCTGCAGAAAGGGGTTTGGAAGCAAACCCCATCTCCCCATGACAAAGCTTCTTCCCTCTGCATCTAGACTTCTGTTAGGGAGATAGATCAAGACTGCCTATTAGCTAAAAAGGTGGTTTAGCTTGCACAGATCCTTTCACTAAGGATAACTGTCAGAGCAAGGAAACTAGAGCTACTAGGTCTATGTCACAGCTCTGCAAAATTTTGTTCTGCAGGTATCTTTTGGTAAGTTTTGTAGAGCAGTTCTGAAGTGCTACCTAGTATGCTTGCTCATGGACTGATCAAACAAGAGATCCTCAACTCGCAAAGAGATGTTTCACATTTAAGAAAGCTCTATGGTTCCTCCTCACTTCTAGGAACAAGCCACTCATCTCAAGCATCACACCCCACCACTGGTGCCAGGCTAGTTAACACAAGTTACAGGCATGTTCTGAAGGTGCAGCAGGACATGGCTACCAACTGAAATCAGCATTCGGGGTCCAGCTTGTCTCCAGGTCATGAGGTCCACCCTGCGTTCAAGCAAGAGTCATTGATCTGATGAATTTTCATTACTTTTTTAATCTTTAAAGATCCTTTTAAAAACAGATTGAAATGTACGTAAAGTAATAGTTACAGGATAAGGACTACTAAGAATAATAACATCCAATACCAGAATTTAAACTAAGGATTTCTAGGGTTTTTTAAACCACAAAACTTAAGGGATGATGCTAATCCTTTACAATTTGATTAAAAAAAAAAAACAAAAAAACAAAAAACAAAAACCCTCTGCTGTTTTCCAGGCAGATATTCATTTGTTCAATTCAAATGAAAGTGAACAGTCAACACCAGCCACAGCACTGACTGAGGTACATTTTTGTATCAAAGCAAAGAGGACTATCCACAAGATTAAGTATTATTTAAAACAGACAGACGCTCACTCATAGCATTCTAGTTACATACATATGTCACACATCTATACAATTACATAAAAATCTTTAAGAAAGGGCCAACACACTGGAGCCAGTGAGATCAGGACGGTAATCTCACATTTTAAAAGCTACTGCTGGCAAAGCTACACTAATCTTATTTAGTCTTGATTCCTTCAGCTTTCTCTCCCCTTCGCTTTCTGCTCTAAAATGTTTAACTGAGGAAAAAAAAAAAATCTATTGATGTATCTTGTGAACATCCTGATTTATATTTTCTAAGAAAATTTTTTTCACCTACTTACTCAATATTCAGTACTGATCGACAAGATGATTTTCCTAAGTCTTTGTAAGAAAGTTAATACCATACTGTCAAGCCATGATTCCAGCTTTGTAACCACAGTATCTGATTTGCTTTAAAAACAAAGCCAAACCCAGCTATGGCCTTGAAACGTGTTTGCAAGGACATCCTAGTGGTTTCAGACTTCAACTACCACACCGCACAAGCCCTCCTCAGCGTTTAAACCCGGCTGCCAGCACAGGAGCTGATCGGCCGGCACTGCCGGGGTAACGACGGTCACTGAGGACGCAACCGAGCTCTGCCTACTCCGTTCTGCTCCGGCGTTACGCCCCTGCCCGCAGCCGCCCCGCAGCTCGCTGCGCCGAGCCCGGCTGTTGGCCGCTAAGGATCTTTTACCTAGCCCTGCTCCTAATTAATGAGGGAACCGAAGTCTAACAATTACCTTGCAAGCTCCGACATGCGAATGAGTTATAATGAGCAGACTGGTTCGGGCTTGTTTTGCCACTGCGAACCATTATTGTAATTATTTCTTTTTTTCTCCCTTGTGAAGAGTTCACGCCGGAGCGCGGCGCAGAGCACGGCCTACCCGGCCCTCAGCGGCGTTACCTGTTGTTCGCCAGCTCGCCCCCCGCCGCCGGGGCAGGGTGA